TTGAGGTATTCGGCCAATCACAACGCATTGGATAGCTGGCCAATCACAGCACACCTTGCTTTTCAGACCGATGAGCTTTGTACAAATCGACGCGTTTCAAAAAGGCGGGGCATAGAGGAGAAACAATAATGTACAGTATGTGGAAAATAATGTGTTTTTTGAACTTTAAACCGCATAAACACATTTCATTACACCAAATACACAAAATAATGTTCTTTTTAGCAGCATCATATGACCCTCTTTAAAGACCTTTTTATTCCACTGAATATATAATCATAATGTAACAGCATAATAATGCAAGAAGGCCAACACACTTCCAAATGACAACAAACTTTTAATTTTTAAGAATATTTAGATCATGGAAATTAAGTATCAAAATATTAGATACCTTAAAAAACCTGAATAAATAGTAAATAAACATTTTCTAACAAAAAGTGCAAAGTAACAAGTAGAAAAAAAGAAAAGTGCACAAAGAACTTGTATGGAGATTTTTCCATCTACAGATTTTTCCCTGACCTTCTTTTCTCTGTAAATTAAGGGTGCACACTATTGCTGAAAAACATGATCACTACTTAGCAGTCAGATGTCCGTATGCACAAAGGCACAGATCCCTAAACAAGACCATATCTGCAGATGAAACTTTGTAGAAGCATTTTTAAAATTTGAACTAGCACCTCATGACTACACCACGAGAAGCTGCAAAAGACACAGGCGCAAGTGGAATGTACAAAATATGGTGACATTAATTTTTAAGTAAATATAATGGGTGATATATTGTGTCACCAAAAATTATTGAGGTCATGTACATATATTGTGCAATAAGTCGATATATTGATTATTGCGACAGGCCTACTTACATCTTGATTGCTCATGTCCCAGTATGGCCGCTCCCCAAATGACATAACCTCCCACATCACGATCCCATAGCTCCACACATCACTCGCCGAGGTGAACTTTCTGAAGGCGATGGCCTCGGGGGCGGTCCAGCGGATTGGGATCTTTCCCCCCTACATAATTACACACATACACACAGAGAGGCCATTCAATTCAAACAAAGACTTTAAAACCAACGACATGTCTTGAGTCTTCAGCTGCCTAATTAGCGTAAAGACTCGGCCCTTACACAGAGCTTCCTCCCCACGGGGTATCCGGGCTGGCTTCATTAATCTGAGATGAAAACCAGTAAAAAAATAAAATGGCAGGAATCTAACTATAAACATAACGGTTTGATCTATCCCTCAAACAGATAACGTGAATGGGAAGACTAATCAATACACTAATCCAAGCAAAGCACGAGCTAAACGAGCACGCTAGTGCTAAATCTTCACTGACTACTAGCATGCCCGGTAAGGACACAAATGTTTACTCAACATTTTTAGCCCAAAGAGTTGATGTAGATGCTAAAAATAAAACGAAAGGATTTATACGGGATTCTAGTCATTCAATTCCCTTATCTGTAGCTTATCATGTCGGACACACTGAACAAGCCATCATCACATACTGTACTGACTACATCCATATGTTTCCAACAGACAGAGATAGAGACAGGCTTCTTCCACATATCAAGTATGCCATCTGTACTCCTGATTCTGTTGGTCAAGGCTTTTCTTATCAATTCTTAATGCACACTGTATCTGATCAAAGCACAGATATCGCTACATTTCTGTCTGGCACCTGGATTTCGATAAAATGCTCTCTGAAAATTCCCACAAAGCTAATAGACATGGACAATAGACAAAATGAATTCACAAGTTAATAAACTAACAAAAAATACCAAACAGCACCATACTAACATGGTTTTGGAGATGTATCAAGTCCATAAATACCACAGGATAAGTAAGGTATCATAGTATTCGTTGAAATACGGTGTACTGTAAAAACCACGGTATTCAAACAATATCATGGTGTAAATCAAAATACCATGGTATTGCCAACCAATATTATGATGCTCACCCATTAAAATGTTATAGCACCATCATCTATGCTAACATAAACAGCTAGCATAGTTGTAATAACAGTATTAATAATATAGCAATAATAATAGTTAATAAAATGGACCATGAAAAATGTTTAACTCTTTCTTATTTTATAATTTACATGGCCTGGAGTGGCCAAAGTTATGTCCTTTTTAATGTTTAAATTAATTTTTACATTTTAAATTAAATTATTACTTTTTATTTAATTATTTATAAAGAAAAGAAATGTCTGTACTAAGTGTACTGGCTACTAATTTGTATAATTGTATAGACAAAATACTTAAAGATGAGATACAGTAATGGCTTAGTGGGGATTATAGGATTTGTTGGAACAAGGATATTTCATTATTTTTTTGTATTATTATATAAAAAGAGCAAACATGCACGACCTTAACCGAACTCACCAATGAGCTGGTGTAGGTGGGGTCCGATGAGTTATCATCCAGAAAGCGAGAGAGGCCAAAATCGGACACTTTGCACACCAGGTTGCTGTTGACGAGCACATTGCGGGCAGCCAGGTCACGATGGACATAGTTCATGTCGGACAGATACTTCATGCCAGCTGCGATTCCCCTCAACATGCCAACCAGCTGCGTTACAGTAAACCTGCCATCGTTCAGCTGAGCGGGAACAGTACAATAGAAGAGAGAGAGTGACATTAACAGATGTAAACACGACACTACACCAGTTCTACTCATTCTAATCAGCCTGACTTTGACAGAGCCGCTGGACTAATTCTACTCGCAGCAGCCCGTAATCTTCTTCAGAGTATCAGGATGCCAAAGATATGAAGAAGTGTCTCCACAGAACTCCACAAAAGCTAATCCTTACGGAGGAATATCCTTTGCAATAGCACTGAATATTTGAAAGTGTAATTCAATTACACACTTCACATAGAATATCAAAGCCACATGTTTTCCTTTTCATATTCTGAATAGGGAAAATCTGAAGCAGTGGTTCGCTGCTGGGTTGCAAGTCTGTTCTGATAGGATCACGAACAGTGGGAATAAAACAATAATAAAATCTAATAATAAAATGCAAATGACCGTATTATCGTACATAGTTGAGACAGGAAAATAAATAGGCTTATCAACGTGTCCATTTGCTATCATGTCAGTGGCCGTCCATGAAATAAAACTCCACTGCATTTTGGCAGCAATTAAAAAACATGACCCATATTACATTAAATACAAGTTCACATGCAACAAGGACAGTTTGTGCAGTGTTTAACACACACACACACACACACACACACACACACACACACACACAGGTTTGTTTTTATGGTTTATGGGGACTCTCCATAGGCGTAATGGTTTTTATACTGTATAAACTGTATATTCTATTGCCCTACACCAACCCTACCCCTAAACCTACTCCTTACAGGAAACTTTCTGCATTTTTACATTTTCAAAAAAACTCATTCTGAATTTTATAAGCCTTTTGAATTACGGGGATACTGAAAATGTCCTCTTAAATCACTTTCTCGTTGTAATACCTTATATATGTGTGTGTGTGTGTGTGTGTGTGTGTAAACGGTTTCCAAAAAATATAAATGAAAACATTTTCAGTAATTTTTCCAATTAACACATTATAATGATTTCTAATCGACGACACTGAAGATTGTATTACTTTTAAATGATTAAATTGAATTAAATTACATTTTAAAATATATTAAAATAGAAAGCATTATTGTTTATAATTTTTAATATTACTGTTTCCACTGTATTTTTGATCAAATAAATGCAACCTTGGAGAGCATTATTTACTTCTTGTGCAAAAAACATTAATCTTCATTCGAGGTTTTATGTCCAATACAATAATGTAATGCTACAGCCCAAGTTCTGCTGTTAAAGAAACCTCTAAGGGGAAATTCACAAGTCTACCATTCACAAATAGCACATGGTTCAAGCTAAGCCTCCAAGCAAAAGGACATCATCACGTCTGTAGCCATTCTCACTTGGTTTGGCTCCAATGACGATAAACATTCTGGTACAAGATTTTGATGTTGATGCTTTTTTTTCCTTCTTTTACTTCTTCTTCTAAAGTTGAAGATGAATCATGCCAAAGTTGGTTCTTATGGATATTTTTAGAAGCGTGTTTGTGTGTATGCGTGGAAATGAGTGCGTTTGTGTCCCTGGCTGGACTGTGAGTACAAGCTGTGCCGTAGGAAGATGTCGGCGATGAGGGACTGGTTAGGTGGGCTTTAAGGTGTGTCATCTGCTTGGTGGTCAAACAGAGCAAGAACATCCCACATCTGGATAGCTAAGCTTTCGGTGTTCTGAATTGACTGTCTGCATGGGTTGGTTCTGGAGTGCGACTGTTTATCAAGTGTTACTGTAGAAACTGAGGGATTATACAAGGTCGCACAAAAATGTCCAGAGATTATTATGGTATTTTTTAAGGTTTTGAAATGCCAGTTGTTGACACAAGTTAAAGGTGAAGCAAGGTTCTGTCTAAAGCACCATGAATAACTGTTTAATGCTGAGGGGGTTATCAAATTCCCCTGTCTACGCAAAAGAAGTTCTGGCAGAGGGAAGTTTTGCTATCTTAGTTTTGTAAAGTAACGTGACATGCTTCATATTGAAACAGAATATTCAGTGAAACTTGAGTTTGTCCATCAGGAATTGATTGAACGAGTTATTACATTTTGATCATGAAGCCAAACATTTTTTTTAGCAGCAGGCTAAGGAAAGCGTAGCCTTTTCAAAAGCTGCATATGTTATTTTTTGAAAACGCTGGATCTTTTTCTTTCATTTTTTTTAAAGGGGTCATATGATGCGATTTCAAGTTTTCCTTTCTCTTTGGAGTGTTACAAGCTGATTGTGCATAGATAAGATCCCTGAAGTTGCAAAGACTAAAGTCTCAAAACCAAAGAGATATTATTTATCAAAGTTAAGACTCTGCCACACCCCCCCTAAAACGGCTCGTTCTAACACGCCCCCACATATCTACCTCACTATGTGGAAATATTTGCATAATGCCGTCCAAATGTTCATGCAAAGAAAGAAGGCGTGGTTTCAGTAACCACAGTTAGTGTTGAAGCAGCATGTCAGGGAGACGCTGTGTGTTTCTAGGCGAAAGCAAAAGCACTTTATTTGGAGAGATCTACACAAAATAATGATCTTTAAAAAGCATCATATGACCCCTTTAATGTATGCACTTGCACTGCAGCAGTTTTTATTGCAATGGCACTTGACTTATTATGCGATTGATCTATTTTAACACCCCATCTAAACCGCAAGTGAGCAATGCAATACGACTCAACAGTTTCTTTGATTATAATGGGAGTGTTCTAGTTTGTCACATTGTGTTGCTAGCAGTATAGCAGTAGTGCCATTAATAAACGTTTTAATTTTTAACAATGACATAGCTAAAGTGGCATGATGTTTGCACAGCACTGGCCACTTGTGCTTTTCAGCGGAAACTGACACAACTGTTCCCAGTGAAATTTCTCTTATTGAGTCACTCACAGGAATAATGGCATCATGGACAGGTACAAGGAAAGATTTTAGAGATAAAAATGATTTTCACAATTGATTCTAAGTATCCAAGAGCTGAATATTTGACAGGATGCATTATGAGATTGACTAAGATGCAGGTGTGTCATTAATTCTTTTATTATGATCCTAAACACTTTTTTGAGAAACACTTGTAAACCTAGGATTTTTTCTTTTTCTTGAAATTGTGTATTTCTCATTTAGGGTCATGAACATGCCTGCAAAGTTTCAACACTCTGAGGTGTTGTGGAACATGCATACAAAATTTCTATTATGATTGTCACATTAACGGGTCAGTTTGGCCCACAAATTTCATGGTTAAAGGCAGGTGCACAGAAAAAAATAAATTGTCAAAAAAGTTGTTATTACGTTTCTCAACTACTAGTTCTCAACTATCAGTTCATGCATGTGAATTTTGCCGAGAATCAATCTTGGCATTGCTAGTGCTATCCTCCACTGTTTTAGCTTCAGGAAAGCACACAAATAAATACATTTTAAATCAAATAAAATATTTAAAATACTGTTAATATTCACATAAAAAGACAAATATTTTTTTTTAATACAGTTGTTAAATACAGTTTAAAAATAATGTATTCTCAAATCTTATTGTTTACTTGTTTGAGAACTGTTAATGTTAAAGATTTACTGTTTTTACCAGATTTTTTGTTTGTTTCATTTTTCATAGTGTGATTTTTTTTGTGAATTGTATTGAATCCAGTTACATAACAAACATAATGATCATACCCAGAAATGTAACATAAATAGTTAACATAACATGACATCATTTTAACATAACAGTTGTGGCCTAATGGATAATGAGTTGGATTTATAACCCAAAGGTCGTGGGTTTGAGTCTCAGCACCGGCAGGAATTGTGAATGACCAGCGCTCTAATGGGGTGTAACGGTTCTCGGTAAAAAATGAACCCTACCATGCTCCACTCACGGTTCGGCACGCACTTGCATTGTGGTTCACCTTAAATCTGACAATGCATCTGTAATATGGTTTGTTAACAATAACAATGCTTAAATGAGACGCATTCTGAGATGTCATTCCCAAAACATTACAGCAATTAAAAAACAAACTAAACAACAACACATGGACAAACCAATCACTCTTTGTAAACTTTGTTTAATGAGTGCCGTATGCTGGAATATGACCAGTCATTTATGCCGTCATCACCCGGGTGTTGATAGCGCGATTGAGCACGCTGCTGTTCATTTAAGCATTGCCTAGCCAGAAGTCGTGAATGAGAACTCGTGCGCGCAGTGAGAAGATTTGTGTGCGCGCTCATCCGAAGTGTGCAAACCCACGTTTCATCCAGCGTGCAAATGTTGAATTCACTTTTAAGTCTTGTGCTTGAACGGACAAATTCACACAAAAATTATGCCAACATGCCTGTCTTGGTGATTATCATAACAGACAGTCGTCTGAACGTACAGTATCAGTTTACTGGATCTGTGCATTGTCTTAAAGTGACAGTAGGTTAAAATACTACTTTAATGTTAATAAAAAAACAGAAGACAAGGAAATCACTCACTGCTCTTGATTGAATAACTTTTGTAACTTCAATAAGGATTAATCTTAAATTTGTACAGTCAAATATGCAATGCTATTTTACATTTGATCACTTCAGTACCAAAAAACTAATATTAGACCTACCTAAAAACCTGAAAAGCAGTTTATTTTATTTGTATCTTTGCTCTGTTGTATTTATTTGTGCTGATGCTTGTAGTTAGATTATTTGTTTGATTATTTGATTATTTGAATTTGCCAGTATAGTCCTTTTTTCCCTAAATTAGCACATACCGATCCGTACCAAAACCATGACTCTAAAACCATGATACAAACTGAACCGTGAGTAATTTGAACCGTTACACCCCTAGAGTTCATGGTGTGTGTGTGTTCCCTACTCACTACTGTGTGTGCACTTGGATGGGAAAAATGCAGAGCACAAATTCCGAGTTTGGGACACCATACTTGGCCACATGTCACTTTCACGTTTTACATGGTTTAAAACAAGCTTTAATGTTTCTTTTTTTATGATCAACTTGCTTGCTTAGATGGCTTCTTTTATTAATATATTTATATTTCATAGTTTTTATTTTATTTACTGTTCTTGTTACTATTACCAGTTTAGTATGCATGTGTTGTAAAGGCCTAGTGAATGAAATGAATATATTCCATACGTTTGCTTGTAGTTATTAAAGCAGTATAAATTTAATTGTGGACTTTATTAGCTTCAGCTTCATGCATTATGATGAATAATTGGACAATCATGATAACCTTTTTAAGAATTAGCCAATATTTTTGTCAAATGTACCAGTGGGCAAATTTAACAGGGTTAGAAACGTGTTAACCTGGATAACTTAGCCGGGCCACACTAATGATGTCTAAAATGCCCATGGGCTCAGCACCTGATGCTGTTTACTGAGAAAGCAAATATATAAGGCTAATGCAATAAAGAAGTTTTGCATTATGCTGATAATACTGAGGGACCTTATATATGAATACTTAGGTGTCGTATTCCCATAGGTTGATGGGGATCAGCTGAGAGTCAGCTGATGCGAGCTTGACTAACGTGACCTGCCAGAACTAACGCTACACTTGATTTTAATAAGCTATATTGCATCATTTTCACAAGCTATAAATAAATATGTACAGTAATAAATATGTTTTTGGTGCAGTTATACTCACCGTACTGCTGCAGTTTTTCAGTATATTCCAGCTCAGAGCCAGTACGCTGCCGTCTGTAACCAGATTATATACACACTGAGAGTCTGGCTTAAGACTGGATTTCTACAGTACAGGCACAACAAATGTAACTGGGGCACTTTGTGAAAGAGAACATTTAGGTATTTCATATGCTTCAATCATCAGTTATGTCGCTCAAATTGCACAAAAAGCTAGTTTTATAAATCTAAACTTATGATTCACTTTCTAAATGCCTATGATCGAGGCCATCTGAGCGATTTCTCGCCGTTCCGCCTAATTGCAATTCGGTACATGCAGGATTCAAAGGCTGGGTCACCACAACATGCAGCACGAAAGATCAACCATCAAGACTGTCTTGTCATCGCTTCAAACCAGAACTGCTCCATTACACGGTTCAGATGAGCCAAATTGTAGGTTATACTCCAAAAACAGCAAGTCAATTAACACCAAATCATAGGTTGAATCTTAACATTTGCAACAAATAACCAAGCCCAGAACATACATGCTAATTTGATCTCGGTTCATGCCTGTATCAAGTAACTGAAGACAGTGAACAGTGTATTTAAATCTAGGCCTTCTCATTAAGATCTCTTTGTTTCGCTAACTCTGCATAAGTAGCGTGTTTGAAAGAGAATGGGAGCAAAGGGGCCTATTGGAATTCACCATCTGTGGGATTCCTTTTGTCTCTTGACCTGTGCTAACAATGACGCCTGCTGCTAATTAGCATCTCATCTACAATTTAAATGTCAGAAGGAAAATAATGATGCTTCTGCGCGCGCACACACACACACGCAAAGAACACATTAGGATACTAGCGCAGAGGGCATGAATGAGAGAGAAGAAAGAGCTTGAAGCGGAGAGGAGGAGATGCTTTGGCACAACAAGGCGGTCACAGTCAAGAAGAATGTGTCAAATAGACACAGTGGCAGTCTGCCGTCTCTGGAGTGATTGGCAATGTCCCAGTCTGCGCACAGATTTGGGCAAAGTGGCCTGAAATGAGCATCTTGTGAGTCTCATAAATATCCGAAGTCAGACGCACTTTGAAGTCTGTTTTGCAGTCCCTATCTGATCTCATTTTGCTGTTGTGCTGTTGAGTTTGTTGGATACGAGGCATTCAAATGATAAGCAATACAAATAGCTCTTTGCTAAATCAACATGAAATCTAAATGGATCCTGTTTACTTTCTTACTACAAGTTCCAGGTCTAAAGACGCGGTCACATTAGGAAATTTTGCAGGCAAAAAAAGGCCTGTTATCTGTTGTCAACATTGTAGCAATGCATGCTCACTTTCAAATCAAGCAGCCTTTGGTTGGTAAGTCTGGTGAATCTGTGTGACCAACTTGAATATGTTGCGAAATCTGCATGGGGAAATCTTTCACTCTCATGCAGATTCCTGATCGCAAGGATTCCTGCTGGAATGAACCCTTTTCACAGAAGGTTCTCAGAAGCATACATTGTCATAGTTGGGGAAACTTCCATAGTGGTAAACGGAAATGGCAACAAATATAATTTTTGCATTCCCATTTGTTCCAATAGCAAAAAATACAAATAAAAATAAATACACAATAGAGCACAGGCGGGTTCTGGATGTAAAACCCCATTATTTTAACAATAACTGATAAACCTATAAAGACAGACCTGTTGTGAGCTCCGAGGCTGTTCATCGATTATATAAGCTTTTGTTGAAGCCATCTGTTTGCATGAATTCAACTTAAATAATTATAACTTAAAATAATCTTATTTAATAGCAGAATTCTTGGTGAAAAACTACATTAACATCAATTACAATTTTGTAATGTTGTAATTCACCTCATAGCTGCTTGGCTTGGTTCATAGCTTATAGTGCTTTAAAGAAGAGTTTTTAAAAATCCCTGTGGGGAAAAATGTATGAAAAAAAACTTCTGGAACCAGCACTGCTGAAAACGTCCAGGCCCTAATGCACTCTATAGCATTTCTATGGCTTTACAAAAGAGAGAAAAATACTGAGAGAGTGATTTCATTGGTCAGAATAGAGCCAAATTTGTGTCAAATTTGCCAACACTTCCTTAGCTCCTTTATTAGAAACACTTACACATTAGCGTTAACTAGTTTTCTGTAATTTAATGGCAGGATTCCCAAATCCAGGTGTGAAAAACTTGTTGCGTCTTTCCCAAAAAGACTCATGGCTGTATTCGATCAAAAGGGTGCTTCTACTAAATACTGAGCAAAGGGTCTGAATATTTAGGACCATGTGATATTTCAGTTTTTCTTTTTTAATAAATCTGCAAAAATGTCAACAATTCTGTGTTTTTCTGTCAATATGGGGTGCTGTGTGTACATTAATGAGGAAAAAAATTAACTTAAATGATTTTAGCAAATGGCTGCAATATAACAAAGAGTGAAAAATTTAAGGGGGTCTGAATACTTTCCGTACCCACTGTAACACAAAGGATAACAGTGTTCATTTTGACAGCAAATTTGGATTTAGTCTTAGTCATAGTCTTTTGACTAAAATGCCATTTAGTTATAGTCATATTTTAGTCATCTGAATTTAGTTGACTAAATCTACAGTAGATTTAGTCAGCTAAAATCTAATGGGTTTAGTTAGTGTAATGCACTTATTAAGCATTTCTCTAAAATTTCCAAACTCATTATATAGGTTTAATATTAAGGTTTTATCATGCAATATCGACACAGATTTAACTGCTGTGACACACAACATACCTTTATATTAAAATGAAATAAAACCACTTCTCTTAAAGAAACAAGAACATTGTCCTCCTTTCAATGAAATACCAATGGTTATATAATATGCATTCTTAATAACAACTTGCCACATTCTTTCAAGCAGATATACATTTATATAAATAAATTTAGATTAATCCTTACTAGAGTTACTAAAGTCATTCAGTCAAGAACAGTGAGTGATTTTCTCTCTTTCTTTTATTGCTTGATTAACATTAAAGGGATAGTTCACCCAAAAATGAAAATTTTATGTTTATCTGCTTACCCCCAGGGCATCCAAGATGTAGGTGACTTTGTTTCTTCAGTAGAACACATTTGATGATTTTTAACTCCAACCGTTGCAGTCTATCAGTCATATAATGCATGGCAATGGTAACAATGGTGAGGTGTGTACGCGCTCTGGCGTAGTTTACATTAATGGGTGTGTTGATATCCAGCCGAAGAGCAGTCAACCATAACTTCAGGTGAGCAGGCTCAGAAGTTGGGAATACGTGGAAAGTCACCACTCCCGAATGAGTTCGCGCGAGAGAACGTAATCTTTTAGTTTTAAGTCGGTTTGAACAATCCGGATAAGCGCAAGTAAGTACCATTTTGATTAGCCGTCGTACCTACAATGACTGTGCACTGTGTAAACAGTGAGTGACGTATATGCACGAGAGATCACTTCCGGTGTTTGCGTAAACTACGCCAGAGCGCGTACACACCTCACGCACCGGATGCCGTGCGCACGCCCAAAGACAGTTGGACATAGTGGTGTATTAGAGGTAAAAAATTATATAAATACAGTTCGGTTTCTCACACAAACCGATCGTTTCGTGTCTTAGAACATCAATGTGTCATCACGAGCTGCAGGGTTTAATTTGGATTTGTCTGTGCATGTTTTTTTTACTCTCATAGATTTTGTTACCATTGCCATGCATTATACGACTGATAGACTGCAATGGTTGGAGTTAAAAATCATCAAATGTGTTCTACTGAAGAAACAAAGTCACCTATGACTTATGTGACTTATGTGAGGATCCTGTTCGTGGACTTCAGCTCGGCCTTTAACACTATCATCCCAAACCTCCTCCTGCCCAAACTATCTCAGCTCTCCATGCCCACCTCCATCTGTCAGTGGATCAACAGCTTCCTGACAGACAGGCAGCAGCTAGTGAGGCTGGGAAAATACACATCCAGCACCCGTATAACCAGCACTGGAGCTCCTCAGGGTTGTGTTCTCTCCCCACTGCTCTTCTCCCTCTACACCAACGACTGCATGTCTAAAGACCTCTTTAGACCTCTTTAGAAATCTTCTGTCAAGCTCCTGAAGATTGCAGACGACACCACACTCATCGGCCTCATTCAGGACGGTGATGAGTATGCTTACAGACAGGAGGTCGAGCAGCTGGCTCTCTGGTGCAGTCTCAACAATTTGGAGTTGAAAACTGTGGAGATGACTGTGGACTTCAGGAGAAACCCCCCTGCACTCCCCCCACTCATACACTTATTTATCTAACACACATACTCAGTCTACACCTCAAATTTGCACATAATATACAGTACCTGTACATACAAAAACTGTCTATTGTAATATACCTGCACATACAACTGTCAATTTATATATTTTTATTCCTTATTTACTTGTTCTATTTTTTATTATCTGTGTTTTTTGTTCTGTCACTGTCATTCTGTTAAACTGTGGAAGCTTCTGTCACGAAAACTAATTCCTCGTATGTGTAAACATACCTGGCAATAAAGCTCATTCTGATTCTGATTCTCATTCTACATCTTGGATGCCCTGGGAGTAAGCAGATAAACATAAAATTTTTATTTTTGGGTGAACTATCCCTTTAATGACACATACAAACAGCAACTAAATTAGGCTGCTGTCTCTTTAAAACCGAATGCACAGGTGTATTATACTGATACACATCCGATATTCTCCCAACTGTTTACGTTCACTGAGTGTAACCGAGTATGTTTACGTGAATATTTGTCAAAACGGACAATTCAACATCATTTTTTTGTGTATTTCTCCCTTCATGCAAGGTGAAAGAGAACTAAATTCAATACTCGTGCACTGTGTGAGAGGCGCTTTCTGTGTGCGTGCTTTGGGCGTGTGCTGACCGAATTGAGTTCTCTTTTACGTCATCATGCTTTTCAAATTTATCCACATGTCTGCTGTTCTCTTACTCTGAGATATTGACATTTTTTTTTACTTTTTATGAGACGTGCAGCAAGTTGTTATGTCCAGCTGGATAGATCAGTAGGCTGCTACAGTTCAAATGTTCGCGTCTGACCTCCTAACCACGTAGGAGATTAGTTCTGACTGGATCTCTTCCCAAATCGTCCCTCCTTAACATTTTCATCTTGTTTTTATATTCGTTGACGAAAATGTCAATAGATTTAGATTGTCAAAAAACGATTCCAAAATATCTTATATTGTGATCCACAATAGAAAGTAATTCATACAGATTTCAACAACATGAGGGTGGGCAAATGATGACAGAATTATCCCATGTACATGTGATTGATAAATGATAATACTTACCTAAGGCAGACAACAGCGATGACCACCATGGCAAGGATGACCACAAATCCTGCTGAGGCAGAGCCCACAATGAGTGGCAACAGGTCCTGTACTGACCGCTCTGGGTCATCTGTAAGATGAATTGAAATGCATTTAGAATACCAATAATGCTGAAATACACAAACGTACACTGAATGAGACGTTTCTTTTAAAATCCTGCAGGAGCAATAAAAATAGACAATGCTGTTGACACGGTAAGAGCTAAACAAATTAATATGGATGGCATCAGATCAAATAGGCTTGAAAGAATCTGATACAAAATGTTTAATTCATACTGAATACTGAATTCATTGACTTAGACACATGCAACATTTCTACGGGCTTTTTCTCAGGAGAAATATCTAAGGAGCAGGAGATTTAACCTTAGCGCTGTCTAGGATAAACAATTCAGCAGGGATCTCATTTGTGATTATTTTTTCCTATGGGTAGCTTGGCATATAAAAATGCACTTGGCCACTCAGTATCTTTGTAACAGATGCAAAAGAAAGAAAACGTCTGTGTTCTTACCATAAAGACTTGTACTGAAGTCCACCGGGCTGCTATGGCGTCCGTAACCGGCTACAGTACGAGCACGTACTTGCACGCCGTACACCGTGCCAGCCTTTAAACCCTCCACTTTGGCAGAAGTGTGCTGTGCAGTGACGGTGTGCGAGAACGACTCTCCCTGAGAAACAGAAACATACACACTGAAGGACCGAAACTAGACTCTTGAGTCATTGAATGCTTAGAGTGAATGTTTAGTTAACAGTTTTCACTGCAATTAGCGGTATTTGAAAAGACAATCCCTAGCTAAAACTGTCATCCAAACATGCGGCCACAAGTAAATCCTCTAGACGAATTAAGCTCCACTCTTTTTAGAATTAGCCATTGGTTTTGACCAGTAGCCATCTGTTGTTCCATTGTACTCCACTTTAAGACAAGCCAGGGCTACTTTGTGCTCAAGCCAGTAAAACCCATGCTGGGTGTCTGGTGTAATGTCATCTGGCTGGGGTTCAAGAGTTCTTCAGTCAGGGGTGATTTAGAAGCACAGCAGTTCCTCACCCTCTCCTGGTACTTGATCTCATAATCCAGGATCACACCATTGGGCCGCTCTGGGGGTAGCCAGGAGAGGCTGAGAGTGCCAGCTGTGGCCCGCATTAAGTGGATGGTGGGGACTGCCGATGGAGCTGGAGGTGTTAAGAGATGGAGAGAGAAAAAGCAGAATAACTTTATTAGAATATCATCAGATTATTTAAGGCTGTGACTCTTTACTGGTGGGTCGGGACCCATAAAGGGTCTCTACGTAGTCTGTTCTGATAGCACGGACAGCTGGGAACTAAAATTCTAAATGCAAATGCAAAAAGAAAAATTTGCATATCAATCTTTACAGGTTTGGTTTAGGTAATATTATGCAATATAGGAATAGTGTATTCTGATTACTGTGTGTAATAAACTATTGTGGCAATTTTCTATTTCAATAAAGGTATGAGACAAAAGTCTTTTGAAGATTTATTTTCTTGCAAGAAAAGGTCAACAGTCATACAGATCGGCTGCAGAGTGTGACCAAGAGGCAACACCCCAACTCAAAATGTATACCTTCATCAAATCCGAATGATTTGATCTCATCCAATCATAATGCATATTCAACATATATGTCCATTTAAGGTGTCTATGTCCTCCAGATGCGTTTCTAAGAAGCCAGGATGTCTAAAAAGCTGACATAACATTTTCCTGTCTCACACTTAGATTTCCTGCTATCTCTCATCTCATGACAAACTTAAGCACATTAATGAGGCATTTAAAAAAGAAAGAACACTCTTTAGTAGAGTAAAGCAAATAAAACTACTAATAATATGAATATAGAATACATTTTCCTCCACACTCCACTTTTTTTAATGATTCTTCGATAACCATAGAAAAATCCAGAATTATAAATACACACATATCCACATAAACTGAATAATTAAAAATAAATTATTTATTGATCAATATTTTTATCATATTGCTTGTGGGTCAATGGCAATGACAATTTTAATTTGTTCAAAGATTACAACATACATACAACATTTATACATACAACAAACTGAAAACCTCTGATTTGTTTTTCAAATATCAAAATATAAAGTAGTCTAACATGATCTTTAATAATTTATTTATTTAACAATTACAACGTTTGGCCACCAAATAATAGCCATGTGGTGAGACATGCAAAATGAATGAATGAATATTATATTGATATGATATGATATGATATATTACATTATATTTTTATGGCATAAAATTTCTATGGCAAGGCAAGCTTAGTTCAGATGTGGTGTGACTCCCCAAAAACTTGATTTGTAGATAAATAATTAATGCTGTCTCTCTCTCTCTCTCTCTCTCTCTCTCTCTATATATATATATATGTATGTATGTATATGTTGTAAAATCAAAAAAATATATTGTACAACTTGTTAAAAATACTGAAAACGTATTCAGTGTATATGGATTTTTTTTTTTAATTTTTACTTTTTACCACATTCCATTTTTACATAATTTTACATTATTACATTTAAAAAGTTTTTTCAAAACCATATGAACCCAGCATGATTTCAAAGAGTACAATTCTTAGAACTTTAAAAGATGCACTAGATTTTTAAAAGATTTCACATTTTCTTTATGAGGACACTGTTATTTGTCATTGAAACTTGTGCCAGTGTTTTATAAAAACAATAAGTCACTGCAGGCTGTGCTTTACTGTGATTGTAACTGTTTGGTGCAGTTTAAACAGTCTCCTGTGGTTTACTGGTTTATTAGACAACTGAAAATGAATTTCTCACCTGCTTGATTGGTGGTGATATTGACAGTGGCATATTGCGGGGTGGATGGGCTCTTGGGAGACACACCGTTGACAGCCTGGATCTCAAAGCTGTAATGGGTGTGTGCCTGTAGATTCCTCACCGCCGCCTGCCTCTCGGCCAGACCCAGTCGCCGTGGTGACACCTCCACGTTATCGTCACACCGCGCACAGGACCCGCCATCGTGCAGGCACTTCTTACACACCACGTTATACACCACGTCACCTCTCCCGCCCAAATCCCGCGGCTCGGACCACTCCAGTGACACTGAAGTCTCATTCACACTGGAGATCACGTTTAATGGTGCCGAAGGAACAGCTAGAAAGACAACGGTAAAGAGTTATACTCATGGATCATGTATAATTTAACAGGCCAAATATGATGTCCTGGAGCAAAACATTTTCTGCACATATCCTACGGTATATATTTAGTCAGGAATAAAAAAAAATACCTTTTTTGTAGATCGTTACATAGTAATCCAAGACTAATTAAAAAATCTGGAGCCTTAAAGTCAGGCTGTCATTGGCTAAATTATCTAATTATTCTTGCATATTTGTTTAAAAAATGTCTAATTTACAATGCACTCCATAGTTAACTTGTCAGGGTCAAATCTCTACCCAACAAATCTTGCTCAGTGAATCATGGTGTAAACTAATTAAATCCAGAGGCTGGATTTTCAAAAGCACAACTGCCTAAGGAACTGGAAGCTGTGGTTAGAATTATTGAAAAAGAATACATATTTTCCCCTTTTTTTATGTGCATACCTCCAGCACAATTACGTTTTTTTAAATTCATAAACTACAAACAACATTCTGGCTTCCTGGTAATGTTTCAAAAGACTGAAAAAAAAGCTCTCCAATCAGGGGATTTTGCAACACATTGCATCAATGTGTGAATTTATGTGATATTTCCAATTAAATCCATGTGTCAAGATCCAACAGCGCTGAAGCTAACCGGTTATAAAGATGCTGCGAACCGACAGGCTTACATTAGCGATCATGGCCTTTTTATCAACACGCTGTTCTGTGTCATTAGTCGCCACATCAAACGGGCCGAATGCACAGGACAGACCTTTTCAACATATAATTAGCACAATGTGGGAGCTATGTTAATTTGACAAGTGCTACTGATGATCATCACTTACTAGTGCAGGCTGCATCAGGGGGGTCGCTGTCAGCGCGGTAGTAGCCGCTTTGACAAGGGCAAATGCTAGACGCCCTAGAGCTGGCCCGGCTGTTGGAAGGGCACGGCATACAAGAACCCTCGCCCTGTTTGGATTTGAAGGTCCCTGGGGTGCACGCTAAAAGGTGACAAAGAAAAAGGTGAGTTACAGTATGTAATCTATTTAAATGAACAGTTTTTTGTCAAAAACTATTACTTAACATCACCGAATCAACCTAAATACGTTTGGTTACATAAACAAATCCAAATAGAAATAGCTCCTTATTAGAATATTACAGGTTCAATGCAAGTTAAATTCACAGCATTTGTAGCATGTTGGTTACCACAACATGTTTTTTTACTCCCTCCTTTTCTTTCAAAAGAGAAAAAATCTTGGTTATAATAAGACACAATAGATGTGAATGGGGCTAATCAAAAGTATAGCTAAAAGATGAACAATCTGTGTGTTAACATGATTTTACTATGTAACACTCTAAGAACCCAAACACTGATTGAGCCTGTTGGACCATTTTTTGGGTCACTTTTTTCCAGTGTTGGGTATTTTTTGGTCAAATGCAGCTCTTCCCCAGCAGTTGAGTTACTGAGCGCTGGCTATTTTATATATATATATATGTATGTATGTATATGTTGTAAAATCAAAAAAATATATTGTACAACTTGTTAAAAATACTGAAAACGTATTCAGTGTATATGGATTTTTTTTTTTAATTTTTACTTTTTACCACATTCCATTTTTACATCATTTTACATTATTACATTTAAAAAGTTTTTTCAAAACCATATGAACCCAGCATGATTTCAAAGAGTACAATTCTTAGAACTTTAAAAGATGCACTAGATTTTTAAAAGATTTCACATTTTCTTTATGAGGACACTGTTATTTGTCATTGAAACTTGTGCCAGTGTTTTATAAAAACAATAAGTCACTGCAGGCTGTGCTTTACTGTGATTGTAACTGTTTGGTGCAGTTTAAACAGTCTCCTGTGGTTTACTGGTTTATTAGACAACTGAAAATGAATTTCTCACCTGCTTGATTGGTGGTGATATTGACAGTGGCATATTGCGGGGTGGATGGGCTCTTGGGAGACACACCGTTGACAGCCTGGATCTCAAAGCTGTAATGGGTGTGTGCCTGTAGATTCCTCACCGCCGCCTGCCTCTCGGCCAGACCCAGTCGCCGTGGTGACACCTCCACGTTATCGTCACACCGCGCACAGGACCCGCCATCGTGCAGGCACTTCTTACACACCACGTTATACACCACGTCACCTCTCCCGCCCAAATCCCGCGGCTCGGACCACTCCAGTGACACTGAAGTCTCATTCACACTGGAGATCACGTTTAATGGTGCCGAAGGAACAGCTAGAAAGACAACGGTAAAGAGTTATACTCATGGATCATGTATAATTTAACAGGCCAAATATGATGTCCTGGAGCAAAACATTTTCTGCACATATCCTACGGTATATATTTAGTCAGGAATAAAAAAAAATACCTTTTTTGTAGATCGTTACATAGTAATCCAAGACTAATTAAAAAATCTGGAGCCTTAAAGTCAGGCTGTCATTGGCTAAATTATCTAATTATTCTTGCATATTTGTTTAAAAAATGTCTAATTTACAATGCACTCCATAGTTAACTTGTCAGGGTCAAATCTCTACCCAACAAATCTTGCTCAGTGAATCATGGTGTAAACTAATTAAATCCAGAGGCTGGATTTTCAAAAGCACAACTGCCTAAGGAACTGGAAGCTGTGGTTAGAATTATTGAAAAAGAATACATATTTTCCCCTTTTTTTATGTGCATACCTCCAGCACAATTACGTTTTTTAAATTCATAAACTACAAACAACATTCTGGCTTCCTGGTAATGTTTCAAAAGACTGAAAAAAAGCTCTCCAATCAGGGGATTTTGCAACACATTGCATCAATGTGTGAATTTATGTGATATTTCCAATTAAATCCATGTGTCAAGATTCAACAGCGCTGAAGCTAACCGGTTATAAAGATGCTGCGAACCGACAGGCTTACATTAGCGATCATGGCCTTTTTATCAACACGCTGTTCTGTGTCATTAGTCGCCACATCAAACGGGCCGAATGCACAGGACAGACCTTTTCAACATATAATTAGCACAATGTGGGAGCTATGTTAATTTGACAAGTGCTACTGATGATCATCACTTACTAGTGCAGGCTGCATCAGGGGGGTCGCTGTCAGCGCGGTAGTAGCCGCTTTGACAAGGGCAAATGCTAGACGCCCTAGAGCTGGCCCGGCTGTTGGAAGGGCACGGCATACAAGAACCCTCGCCCTGTTTGGATTTGAAGGTCCCTGGGGTGCACGCTAAAAGGTGACAAAGAAAAAGGTGAGTTACAGTATGTAATCTATTTAAATGAACAGTTTTTTGTCAAAAACTATTACTTAACATCACCGAATCAACCTAAATACGTTTGGTTACATAAACAAATCCAAATAGAAATAGCTCCTTATTAGAATATTACAGGTTCAATGCAAGTTAAATTCACAGCATTTGTAGCATGTTGGTTACCACAACATGTTTTTTTACTCCCTCCTTTTCTTTCAAAAGAGAAAAAATCTTGGTTATAATAAGACACAATAGATGTGAATGGGGCTAATCAAAAGTATAGCTAAAAGATGAACAATCTGTGTGTTAACATGATTTTACTATGTAACACTCTAAGAACCCAAACACTGATTGAGCCTGTTGGACCATTTTTTGGGTCACTTTTTTCCAGTGTTGGGTATTTTTTGGTCAAATGCAGCTCTTCCCCAGCAGTTGAGTTACTGAGCGCTGGCTATTTTGGGAAATATTCTATACATGTTAAAAATGGTATAAAATATGCTGTATTAAGAACTGTATTATGAGGTAAAAAAAAAATGGTAATCCTAAATCCAAAACCCTAAAACAACCATGGCCCTGTTCACTTCCACTGTAAGTGCCTTACCGAAACTTCATTGCCATGACAATATAACGGCTAAAACCCTAAAACAACCATAAAAATAACAAGAACAACTTTACATATCATAATAATACTCTCGTTTTAACAGAAGAATGAACGTGTTTTTATATTATAAGCTTCACGTTTCTGCTTAAATCAACACTGAACAGATTGGAGCTGAATAATGACACTATTGTCTTTTTAGAGCTTTTTAGAGAATTTGGATTTGTCTTGTATTTGATGAAGTTTGAATCAGTGATTCTATTATTTTTCTTTTTATTATACTGTGAAGCTGCTTTGAAACAATCTGTGTTGTATAAACAGATTAAGGTGACTTGCCTCGCTTTGAAATCCCCCATTCACTTCCATTGTGAGTGTCGCACCGTAACTTTTTGCTTTTTGTTTTAAGTAATGGAGGGATGAATCAAAATCATTTCTTGTAGTAATCAATACTATCAGTTCTCAGTTGAGCTTAACTTGCATTGAAGCTGGAATATTCCTTTAAGGTTGCCATTTGTTTTTTTCAGTATTGTGTTGGCACTTGAAATATCTGGATCATGAAACAGCTGCGATTAAAATATTTTTCCATCACAAAAATGACACACTCAGGGTCGGCGCTAGAGCACGTAAAGTGAAGGGGCATGCCTTTTGGCACCTGTTTCTGAATATAGATTGATCTAAATGATCTAGCCTATAGTGTAGATCATTTTCAGATGCAACAAATAAAAGAGGAAAAACACAAATGAAACTTGTAATAAAAATTTTAATTTAATAACATGTAGCCTAGTTTTATATGTGAATAGGGTGTTCGTCAACTGATTGCATGCCGTCGGAGTTTCCAGTGTTGACCGCTCTGTAAAATAGCCTACTGGAAGCGCTGTAGTTTTGCTGTATATAGCTACTAAAAATATGAAAAGTACAACACACAAACACACTTAAGAATAAGATTCAAAACATTTATAACAAGAATCAATCACCTAAGCTCCGAAGAAGTTAGTTTGCTAACCGCACTAAAGTCAGTCCATTTCTTTTGGAAGAAAATAGCTGATGCAACAGTCTGGTTGAGGAATCTGCTTCTTTCTGTTTTTCCTGTAAACAATCCACCACACCCGTGTCTCCTCACAAAACACTGCAGTTAATGGGGACCATGCCGAGAGATGTGTCCTGCATGTGACACCGCAGGTGAATTATAGCAAATAAAGAAAAAAAAAATCATCGTCAGTATTCCTCCCATGACACATATCGCTTCACGGCTAGCATAATAAGACAGTGGAAAATCCGATCGAGTGGCCCCTGCACTCAGCCTTAACATGCATGGCGTTACGCATTCAGACAGAGTGCGAGAATGAGATGGGAAGAGCTTTGAGAGACAGAGAGAGAGTGAGAACATGCCCATATAAACGTTAACTGGGCTTGGATGTTTCCCTTCTGTGTGCATCAGTGGGCCTGTGGATTAAAGCTGGAAGGTGATAAAGGAAATTTAGACGCACTCTCCATTGGCCATGGTGCATCTCACGGCTGTATAGCACAGCCTGGGAGAGTCATTTATCAGTCCTTTAAGGCAAGCTCTTAACCTTGAACAACCAGATGGAAACAAATGAGCCGCCACATACTGGCAATCTCAAAGGAAGTTCCCCTCTGTCCACCAGTTCCTTCCCAGAGAACAGTTCAGGAGGCCCGTCCAATTCACATTTTATTACTCCGAGCCTACCTCATCATTCATTCGCACTCCCTCTCTCTCCTCCCCTGCTCTCTCTGTAGTCTATCTTTTAATTTCCCCCATTACTCTCCCAGACTCACAGTCGAGAATTGGTTTTGCCTTCTGCAGAACTATTCGTCTCTGGTATATCGTTCTGTTAGGACCCTATCAGATGTGTCAGTGGAAGCTGTGGTCTGCTGCTGTTGGCAGCTTTGTTCTCTGACACTACTGCAGTCCTCCACCCATTACTGAGACTCTCTCTCTTCTGTGCTGAGCCCAGATAAGGTCTGCGGGGAGACTGTGGATCAGTACGGGCGAATCCTTGCATTGTTCTTACTGTTCGAAACTCCAGATTCTGGACTGGCAGGCAATACTTGCCTTGTTGAGCTCCTAAATTCTGGCCTTTTCATAGTCACCTAAAAATTCTATTAACAGATTTGGCCTTTAACCCCAGAATGCAAAGAGAAATCCAATTAGGTAATAGTCTTATAACACTTCTTGCATCAAAGCCATATGACTTTCTTTCTTCTGTGGAATACGAATAGAGAAATGCTGCAGAATGTGTTAACCCCTTAGCATTTCTGTAAAATTTGCCTAAAACACACAGTGGAACGCTAACAGGTTCATAAAAGAGAACAAAAAAGCACCATAAAAGTTTCATAAAAGCAGTCAATATGACTACTCAGAAAAAGATTCGGATTTACTTTTATTAAATGGAAGACAGAAAACGAATTTTCATTTTTGGGTGAACTATTCATTTCATGTAATTGTATATGTGTGTTGTGAGTTGACTTTTGTGTGGACAAATTTGCAGTATGACAAAACCTTCCTTTGGGGACATTTGAAGGCATTTAAAATAATAAATGTTTTTAAATTTAAAAATGCTATGTTTTTTTTTCTTTGCGTATTATTGTTATGGTGTAGGTTTTATAAAATATGCACTATATTTGAAAGGTTTGAGGCCAATAAGATTGGTAAAATAGTTAAATAATAATAATTAAATAAATTTTTTACCAAGGCTGCAGTTATTTAATAAAAACACAGCAAAGGTAATATTGTTTCCAGTGATGGCAAAGCTGAATTACTCCTATCTTTTACCACATATACAACTGAATATGTTTATAATACATAACACTGTCATGTATTTACATATTTACTTACAAAAACATGAAAAATGTAAATCTATTTGAAGCTGCATGTTAATACAAACTCATTTTTAACATAAAAAGTAGCAAACCACTAAATGTGAAATTAGTTTACATTATAAAAAAAACTTAACTGAGAAATTTTGAATGTCTTTTGAATTACTTTGAAAATTTAGCTATGCTAAATTTTTCAATTTAGCTGAAAAAAATTAGTTATGCTATTCAGTGTGAGTTATGTGTGTGTAAAAAAATTAGCATTACCAGTGACTGCATAAAAAAGGATATAAAACCGCTCTGACCTGCAAGTAACCTTTGCATTGCTTCAGACAGATTTTATAATCCGTATTGTAGCATCTGCCAGCCAACACTCAAAAGCTTCAACCAGAATCCGCTTTCTTCTGATTTAAAAAGTCAAACACTTACCCTGGCACTGAGTATCTTTCTTGGCCGGCTCAAAGCCCGCCATGCAGGTGCATGCTCCCACAGGAACCATCCATTCTCCATCTCCGTTACAGTACAGCTTTAGAGGGACAGATTCCTCGATGGCATTTGGCACACAGGCTCCGGCAGCGATGACCAGAGAGGTGGCCTCGGCACCAGTGGCCGTCTCGGGGAAGACAGCGAAGTTAGCAATGGTGGTGGAGCACTTTTTAAAGAAGACCCTGGCCGAGATGAGGGACATGCAGGCGCCCAGATCCTGGAAGGCCAGGTAGAAACCAGCTTTGGAAAGAGGACCTAAGCTCCGTACTTTGGTGTTGACGATTCCTGACTCCAGCAATGAGAAGCTCTCGTCGGGGGCTATGGTGTCCACCTGGGGACAAAAGAAAATAGAGAAGGTAAGTACATTCAATTTGATATTGTTGTCCAGTCACAGAGTGTTAGGACTTTTTGTGGACTGTAAACCTTTATCTCTTGTAATTCTGTCATCATTTTCTCACCCAAGTCATTCTAAAGGTCACATTAGCGAACTTTTGGTAAAATTGTGTGGGTCCATTGTCTTTTGTCAATAGTGTAGCAATGTATGAAGTCACTTTCAAACTAAGCAGCTTTCTGTTGATCAACTCAACAAATCCATGTGACCAACTTGAACCTGTTGCGAAATCTGTGTGAAATCTTTAGCGAAATATCTATTTGTGTTATTTCCAATTAAAATGACTGGACATCGCCCATGAAAACAAAAATACACTGACCTAATGTATTCTTTTGTGACTAAATGATGACAATTCCTTCAAATATGTGTTACATTCCCAAGTAAATAAGACACCATCATTCACCAAAACATTGTAAAATGTATCATCATGCAAAGTCTTAAATTAAAAGAAGTCATCATTCCGGCTGACCTTTACGTAGGGGTTCTCCCTCCATGGCGGGCTGCTTGCTGTGGCCACGTCTCCATCCGATTCATAGTAGAACAGATTAAAGGTCTCCTTACAGGACCCGGGAATATTGGGAATACTGCCACAGTCCCGCACAGAGAACTTGAGCTCCACGTAAACTCGAAGAACTCCCCGGCGTGGGATGAAGTCTGTCCGGAGCCAGTTGTTCTGATTGGGCTCCAGTACGTTACAGACCTGGTATGTCCTGATGGGGCTCAAGTGGTCGTCATATCCACTCACTTCTTCCCACTGAGAAGGGGATAAAATACTGTCACTGAATGCACAATGAACTTTCTTGAAATTAAATGTCCAACTGAAAAATGACAGTAGATAAAACCTTTGGAATTGTGTAAAGAATATGTGTAATTTATCATTTAAGGTCTTATTGTGTTATTGCTTACTTCCAATAAAACTAGCAAAACATGGAACTCAGTGATGCTGTAACTTGTTACCTTCCTCTCTCTTTATGTAGTGAAATCTTTCTTTATATATAGTTTCTATTGAATGATCCTTGATCTTTTAATCTTTTTCCACATAATTGTATGGGTCAGTGACATAACAATTGAATAAATAAATAAATGATTGAAAAGAGAGCCTTCTTAAGTTGTTTTACATAATCTTGTATTATAATTCCTTAAGGGTACTGCTTCACTGCTTTTTCATATAAAAAAAAAAAACATTAGTCATGTGGTGCAACCAACATACAGGGGGAAAAACATTAAACAGGAAATTTTATCATAATGTGTCAATGTCATTATGTCTCCTCAAATATCAGATAATTTGACCTTTTTAAGGGCAAGGTTCTGCCTGTAAAATGTCAAGCGGTGTGACTCCCAAAAAATGTATGTATGAATTAATTCATGATATTTGTCTTCATAATATTTTGCCTTAAACAATTTTTAAATGAAAATAAGAAAGAAAATATTACTTTTTACTTGGCACATGCCAATTTTACAGTCATACCACTTAAACTTGGTATAAAAGAAATTCTTCGTCATTGGCCTGTTTATTAAATATAACATATTTTCAGATTGGCTTTGAAATCGTGCCACATTTTCTTGTTTACTATGGACTGACAAATGATTGGTTAGGACACAGTGTCACATAAAACCTAAAAATCCTAAAATGATCCAGATCTATGGATCGTTATTAAGATGATACCTGTAACTTTTGCCTCAAAGCAGCACTAAATGGAAGTAGGAATAATGAACGACTCAAATGCTCAATTAAATTCATGTCGGTGGTTAGGGTAAATAGAAATGCTTTCTCAAAGGTGACATTTGGGTTGCCTGAACTTCTCACAACACAATTAAGAGGCACCGCAGCGAGGGGTAGCATGTGTTTATCTCCAGGTGTGAAGGAACACATTACTTATGATGATGCATGGCTTTTGAGATGCCAGACATCGAGCGCCAGCCTGCGGAAAGGGCTGAGCTGCTTAAGATTGTTGCCATGGCAACCCATCATTTCCATTGACTGACTTCGCATGCACATTCCAAAGACAAATCATACTACGGGAGCGAGTGGATTTGGGTGGGGGGTGTCAGGCTTAAGGTCAGACTCGCTGTGGTTAATTTCTTCACCAGTCACATGTGTAAAATAAACTGCTGCTTGCAAACACAGAGGTGGTGAATGATTGTTCTTGTTAATGGCCCCCGTTCATTTGTCTCGTCAATGCATGTGTAGATTAATAGCTGCCCTTTTGGACAATTACAAACAGGAAACGCTGTAACTCACCCCGCTTTCTGGATAGGTGGTCCACGCCAGCTCTGTAGTAGCCCACCTGCTGTCCATAAGAGTCTCTGCAAAACAGGCAATCAATGAGGCTCCGACAACAGCAGTCTCCATTCCAAACACAACAGAGCATCAGCACTCTAAAAACTGTAATTTAAACGGGTACATATCAAAGCACTTCACTCATTTGAATTCCCCGCATAGTGGAAGGCCTAATCACTGTTTTCACTCCGCACACTAATAATGTGATCCGTATTTATCTACCCACTCCAGCTCTGGCCTGTGGCTGATCTGAGAACAGATCCTGTTGCGTACCGCAGGGATGCTCGCAGCACAGTGACATTCTGCATCCCAGGCGTTTGCTGTTCTTTAAATACACTCCGATCAGTGGAGCAAAACTGCATGAGCCAGCTTCCGCAAATTAACCGTACATGTGAATGTTTTATTCACTTTGTAAGTCAGCGTTCGATGAAGCCGAGTGCTCGCTTCAAATTAAAGTGACACGCACACATCTGCGTGTCGAAAATCAGTGGAATCTTTAGAGCAGAACATCAACTTAGCTGATTAAGGCCCCGGCAAATGCACATATGGCAAACGTACACATGCCGTTTATGTGGATTGTACACCTTGCTTTTATAGCACTGTAAATCACAGAGAGAGTTAATTGTGTGATCAAATAGCTGTAAGGGCATCTCGTTGTGTGAAATATTCATAAAATTAAAGGGAAGTTCTTTTGATGCTTTGATCAATTCCTTATGACCGCATTCAGTCTTTAAGCCCTTTGCATCTGTGCATTTGGCTGCATTGTGGAAAACAATGTTATGATACTTATTTTTACGCATAGCAGCTCATCGCAGTCTATTTCACACAAATGAGTGTACAGGATGTTCTTTGAAACTTTGTTTTGTACAGTCAGCAGATGTACAAAACGCCTCATTATTCTTTGAAATCTTTTGTTACTCCACTAGATTATCCGAATGTAAGACTATAAAGAAAAACAAACAACCTTTAGAGGCAGTTATAAGCAGTAAAATAAGAATAGTGCTTATTTGTTTAATTACAATAAGCATGTTAACATGCAAAATTTGATTTCAGTCGGACTAAAGCAATAGTCATGGAAATGCTTTAAGGAACATTCTCACCAACTATAACGATAACTAACACTATAAAGTTTTAATAATCGCTCTAATTCTACGAGAATAGGAAGTTCACGCCACAATGGTAATGACACAATATTGTTGGAAACATGATTTTTTTTCTAGCTGATGAATAATAAAACATTAACAGACAAGCAGAATTCACCCGACTTTAAAGAGCTTGAGCATTTCAATTGGCAGACGACATAACTGAAGTGTGCCATTAGAATAAACAGAGCATTATTGTGCGTTGATATGGCGAATATACAGTTAATGTTACAGTCATCTTTATAGTTTATAGTTTTCGTTCTTGATATGAATGGGCCTTTAGTCTAAATGAAATCATACAAATTCCATTTTTGCAAAATTGGACTAAAGGTGTGGTCACATTTATCATTGTTCAGCGATTTTTCACATTTCAAAATCCAGTCATTTCAACATGAATTCACATGATTTGGAATTTCAAATTAGGACAAAAGATTTCCACATGCAAATTCTGTAGGGGCTAGTACTATTTACGCGATTGTAGCATGGCTTTATCCAGAATGTGTACGCATTAATCTGACTGCAACTGGACTCTCTCTGTATGTTTACAGTAGTGATGTGCAATGGATGCAACTAGTCTGTATCGATTATTCGTATATACATTGTATCATATGCACTTGAAATCACAGAACCAGGGGCCATACACACAAAACAATGGTTTTGTATTTAACAGCGTGAGACACAGTGTAGCGGAATGAAAAAAAGCAAGGTATATAGATTCATTTTTTCATGCCATGCGAGACTCTGCAAATGATGCAATACACAGAGGTAAAACATGTCTGTCTAGTGCATGTTACCATTGCTATGAAAAACAATGGAAAAGCGACGCAGTGGAATGCAAAAAATAAATTAATAAAACTGTAGCTCAATGACTGTGCATGTAAACGTAAGAAAGTGTTATTATCTTGTAATGAAACTGTATTAACAAAAACTCACCCTTTTTTAAACCACAGTAATGATAACCACTAACAGGGACAAATCACGTAAGTTTTGTTTTATATTTAGACACCATAGTTCCCAGAAGGCTTCTGACAGATGGACTGACTTGACACAGGGGACCCTGGATGCAGCTTTACACTTTCCCTCTTGTCAAGAGGTGCTCGGCCCACTTGACCTCCATTGGAAGTGTAACTAATGTAGTCTGTTCATAAACCTGCTCGGAAACTAGGCCTATGAGTCAAACACCTACTCTCTCTCTCTCTCTCTCACACACAAACACACACACAGTCGATTAAGATCCTCACACTGAAACTGATGAAGAATCGATAATGGCCAAGGTGAAGGAGTATCTGGCTCCACTGTAGTTAAGGATTATGGATAATTATTAGTTAAGGGAGATGACCAAGGTACATAATGAAGTCAGCTATACACGTATCTGTACTAAAAATACCAAACAAAATCCTGCCTTGAGAATGTAATTTTGTAACAAGGAACGATCTTGTTTTTGCGGAGCAGCAATTTGTTTTGAATATGAAATTGATAATTCTCAAGCATTAAATTACAAGAAAAAAGAGAGACTGATTGCTAATATGCTAATAGTATGCATTTTGTTAAATATGCAAACAACAGATTTTACAGATGTACAAATATATATTTTAATTTGTAAATTACATTTGTGAGGGCTAGAACATAAACCAGCATCCCAGCGTCAAAACATACCTAACCAGCATATGCTGGTTTTTTTCAACGGGGATGGAATAAGACATTTCTCAAAAAAAAAGAAAAAAAAGAATTAGAACTAGAATTAGTCAGAATAATGGCAAATAAATGCAATGATGATTTAGAAACGGACACATTTAAGCCCAGGTAATGATGTGAAAATCAAAACGGACGTAATCTCTTCTCGCTTTTCATTTATTCACTTTAAACGTCATCAAATATTGTACATTTGCAGCTGTTTGCATATCATCGCACCAATACTATTTAAGTTTTCGTCAAACGCGAAGTTTTTGAGCCAGAACAGTCCGCGCTGTCTGTAAATCACAAGCTTTAAGTACAGATTTTTTGTTATTATACATTCTGTGGAATTCATAAAAGGAATAACCAACTGATGACCATATAACAGCAGCTTGGATACCGAGTAGCCCCGTAACAAAGAGCTTTTACACTTACCCTCAACAGCGAGAATAACGGGTACCCAAAGGCTGTATAATAACAGCGAATAATCCATTGTCATGAAGCTTGAGGTTGCAACATGAATAGCTTTATGTCTATATATCGCCGGGACAGAAATTCTCGTTAAATCTCAACATTCATGGACTGGAGGAACGAATTCACGCCTTGAGAAATTTCAAGCTGGGGGGAAAAAAAAATGCAGAGCTCCTCTTGCTGTGGTTGTCTTCACGTCTTTCATTCACAACTGTTCGCACCATGGAATCCACGGACGGTCTCTTTCGTGAGCGCGGTCTATCATCATCTTCTACATGTGTGGCATCATCCTCATCCTCAGTGTGAAAGAAGCTGTTGATTCTCTGCGACTGCACGGAGTGTCAGTTGCGAGAAAGGATGGGGGGCGAAAGCTCTATTGGTCTCAAGGCAAAACCCTGCGGGATACCGCTGATAACTTACAGACCAAGTACTCCCCCGTGTTCTTTTATTTATGCATTTCATTATTTGTTTTAGAGAAGTGTTAAATCGATGTGTAACTCTTTTAATGTATATGCCACTATAGGCAAAACAGCATAAGAATCCAGAGAAGCTGAGTTGTGGTGAATTGCTAATGTATGGATATTTTTTGATGCACAGCGCCACTCACCGTTTGTTTACTGCAGGAATTGGTGTACTGTAGTTATGAAGGGAGTGACTTGGCAAATGGCCATCACTAGGATATTTGTGTAACAGTCACCCAACACCAATAATAAAATCATCATCCAGCTTTCTGCTGATTAAATAATGGGCTACATGTTGACATGAAGGTTATGGGATAATGTAAACAATCTTCAACGCTGTACATTAATGATATCATGCACAGTGCTGAATATTACTTCAGAAATGTAATCTGGTACTTATTACACAACAGTTTTTATTATACATAATTCAAATTCAGTCTGGTTACCATGACTTAATTTTGATCTAACTTATTTATTTGGCTTCACATGAACAATCTTAGATGGACAGAGAAACATATTCCTTAAACGACACTATCAACACACAGTGTGTTTCATTACTTACATGTTGTTGTGAAAGTTTAATCACTAATTTTGAAGTGTGTTATAAATACCAATTAACACTCATCAAGTAACAATTAAATTTTATTAAACAACAGTAGGACTGACTAGTAAAAAGTATTTTGTGATGGCAATAAGCCAATTTTAGACAACAAAGATTGCAACAATAAACAAGTGCATATAACATTGCAACAATTGTTCTATGTATAATTTACCATACCACAATGTATAATTTGTCATGAATTATATTTCAAGTAATCACAACGATGTAGAGAAAGCTAAAAAAGCTTTTTAGATGTACTATATGTTTTGTTTAGATTTTGACTTTGGTTAATTGTGTCTTGGAGAAAATATTGCCTAATGAACAGCACTCCATTATGTGTCTGCTTCTTCCAGTTGCTGTCATTTTATTTAATGATTAAATAAATGTTGATTAATTTGAACATTTAATTGTGGAATTATCTATAAAAGTGTTAAATGAGAGTTCACACTTTTGATTTGCTTGTTGCTGCTAATAAAATAACTTTCTTAAGAGACACTCTGGTCACAATCTGTGACGGCGAGGAACAATGCAGATGAGGAATAAATGAAACAGTCTTTAATCCAAGAAACACAGGGTACATCCAACACTGGGAACAGCAGAAAACACATGAACACAACAAGTAGAACCGACAGAGACAGACTGCACAGACTAGGACTTAAATACAGGGGAAGATTGGGGAAACACAGGTGTAAGGCATGACTAATCAAACTAATTAACAAAACAAGGACAGGAACATGACCAAATAACAGAAACAGGGGCAAAACATGACACAGACAGTCCATGATCCTGACACACGTTCAGAATGCATTCCGATTCCAACCCACTTTTTTTTCTCTTTTTCTTTTTTGCTAAATCCTTTGTTTGGTCTTAACACCTCACAAAACAAGGACAGGAACATGACCAAATAACAGAAACAGGGGCAAAACATGACACAGACAGTCCATGATCCTGACACACGTTCAGAATGCATTCCGATTCCAACCCACTTTTTTTTCTCTTTTGCAAAATCCTTTGTTTGGTCTTAACACCTCACCTTGCTGAGGAGTGCTGTGATTACTTCAGACTGAGAACCACAAAGAACATGATATAATCTCTGGGAAAATATATGATTCATACACTGAAATGAAACTCAGCAGAAGAACTACAGCATTTTATCTTAATCATTGCATCACGGAACTTGGGAATTTAGGGGAGATCATTCAAAGATTTGCAGTAAACAGAACACAACTCAGACTCATGAGGGAAACAGCTTCGATCTTTGGGTAAGACAATCTTTGATGATGCAAATATTACCTGGTTCCGAGAATGCTCAAATCTCAGGGATTTGGTAACGTTTGATCATATGACATAGTTGTGATTTCACCAGCAGATGCTGAAAGACATTGATCAAAGTATCAAACAGTGTGCAACATAAATTTAACCCTTGTAATACACGCAAGACTTCAAATCCTTGGCCATCCTCACATCAGTTTCAAGCAGCGGATGTCAACAGGAGCTTGTTTTTTAGTTTGGACAGTTAGCCACTGGCAGAGGTTGGCTGAGAAACAGAAGACAGGAGGAAGAGAGAAAGATGAAGGAGAACAGAGGGAGGATGCCGGAGGGCCAGGTGCCGAGTCAATACAGTAAGCTGACAGAGGTGGATAAAGCACTCTCCCTGTGTGGCTCGCTTTCAAGACACTGCTGAAATATAGAGCCACTCTGGCCGCACGGGTGCAATAGACTGGTGATGAAAACAGCTTTCAGTTTGTCACTGCTGAGCCTTCGAATCACAGGAATATTGAGCTTTCTCAGAAACCAGGAGTAGAGCTGGTAAATGCAATCAGAAAGGTCACTACTCTCTTCTCTTCAGCTCTGGACTTGGCAAACTATGACCAGATAATGGCTATTTAGTCGTTTAAGCATTTGATAATTACAGAAGCTACAGACCATAGCTGTGACCTACTTCCTCTCTATTCACCTAATCACACACTTTGTTTTTCTTTCTTTGTGAAGATCAGCAAGGCCTCACTGATCTCAATTATGATTTAAGGGCTAGGCAATGACAAGAGCCAAACGTTGACATGCAACACTTGGGTGCAGCCAGTGTTGGGTAGTAACTAGTTACATGTAAGGGAATTACGTAATTTAATTACAAAATAAATGTAACTGTAATCTGTTACAGTTACTGAGAAAAATGTGTAATTAAATTACAGTTACTTATGGAAATGTTAATGATTACAAAGGGAATATTTCCACACACACACACGCACACACACGCAGGCATGCACGCGCACACACACACACACACACACACACACACACACAAACACACAAAGGCAGAGGTTGGCTGGGGAACAGAAGACAGGAAGAAGAGAGAAAGATGAAGGAGAACAGAGGGAGGATGCCGGAGGGCCAGGTGCCGAGTCAATACAGTAAGCTGACAGAGGTGGATAAAGCACTCTCCCTGTGTGGCTCGCTTTCAAGACACTGCTGAAATATAGAGCCACTCTGGCCGCACGGGTGCAATAGACTGGTGATGAAAACAGCTTTCAGTTTGTCACTGCTGAGCCTTCGAATCACAGGAATATTGAGCTTTCTCAGAAACCAGGAGTAGAGCTGGTAAATGCAATCAGAAAGGTCACTACTCTCTTCTCTTCAGCTCTGGACTTGGCAAACTATGACCAGATAATGGCTATTTAGTCGTTTAAGCATTTGATAATTACAGAAGCTACAGACCATAGCTGTGACCTACTTCCTCTCTATTCACCTAATCACACACTTTGTTTTTCTTTCTTTGTGAAGATCATCAAGGCCTCACTGATCTCAATTATGATTTAAGGGCTAGGCAATGACAAGAGCCAAACGTTGACATGCAACACTTGGGTGCAGCCAGTGTTGGGTAGTAACTAGTTACATGTAAGGGAATTACGTAATTTAATTACAAAATAAATGTAACTGTAATCTGTTACAGTTACTGAGAAAAATGTGTAATTAAATTACAGTTACTTATGGAAATGTTAATGATTACAAAGGGAATATTTCCACACACACACACGCACACACACGCAGGCATGCACGCGCACACACACACACACACACACACACACACACACAAACACACAAAGAATTACTTGATTTTATTCCCAAATTGCATTGACTGCTCTAAAATATGATAAGCAATGTTTCAGGAGTTTAGGACAGAGAATAGGACACATGCTTATTCAAGAACTGTTTTATTTCCTATTTGGGTTTATGTGTATGCTATATATTTTAAGATTAACTTTTTTCCAAGGCATTGTTAGATGCCAGTGATTCCTGTCATAAATATGCAAAGATTTGATTTCAAAAACAGTATCATAGCTATTAAACTACTGTATAAAGGTCACTACTCTCTTCTCTTCAGCTCTGGACTTGGCAAACTATGACCAGATAATGGCTATTTAGTCGTTTAAGCATTTGATAATTACAGAAGCTACAGACCATAGCTGTGACCTACTTCCTCTCTATTCACCTAATCACACACTTTGTTTTTCTTTCTTTGTGAAGATCATCAAGGCCTCACTGATCTCAATTATGATTTAAGGGCTAGGCAATGACAAGAGCCAAACGTTGACATGCAACACTTGGGTGCAGCCAGTGTTGGGTAGTAACTAGTTACATGTAAGGGAATTACGTAATTTAATTACAAAATAAATGTAACTGTAATCTGTTACAGTTACTGAGAAAAATGTATTTAACTTCAGAACTTTCTCAAAGTAAAAAAAAAAAAAAAGGTGCTAAAGTTTTTCTGGTGGCTGTGCTTTAGAATTAAATTATTATAATCTTAATTCAAGTGATGAAGGATTTTGAAGGTCTGACAGTAATCAGTGTTGAGTACTACTAAGGTTAACCCTGCCTGGTTTAAGTGTTTGAAAATGATTAAGCGTTGAAAACATTCATTAGAAATTTAGTCAAGTCAAGTCAAGTCACCTTTATTTATATAGCGCTTTTAACAATACAGATTGTGTCAAAGCAACTGAACAGCATTAATTAGTAAAATAGTGTGTCAATAATGCAAAATGACAATAGTAAACACTCATTTTTCAGTTAAAGACAGTTCATCATTGAATTCAGTGATGTCAACATCCAGCTCAGTTTAAATCGTATCTTTGCAATCATGTCAACGATATCGCTGGAAATGAAGTGTCCCCGACTAAGCAAAGCCAGAGGCGACAGCGGCAAGGAACCAAAACTCCATCGGTGACAGAATGGAGAAAAAACCTTGGG